TTTTAAGTTCTTCTTTTTTTTAGTTTCTTTTTTAGAAAACATCAAAATATAAATATAATTTATATAATAATAAATTAACTATAATTATTACAAAATCTTAAAAATCATTTTGAAGTTGATTTTTCTATGAAAATCATTTCTTTTATACTCCTCTTCGTCTCTTTGTGTTGTGCTGAAACACTAAAACAACAAAAGAAATTGGAAATTACAAAACCTGAATTAGAACGATTTAAAAAATTAGTTTCAAAACGAATAGATAAACAACTCTCAACAAATCCCACTGAATTAATTCATACACATCATTTAGAACATCTTAAACTTCACTTAACATTCTACAAGAAAGAATTAGAGAAATTAGTACATTCCAAAGACCAAATTGATAAGAAAAGAATCCCAAGATTAGCAGGAAAAATTAGAAAGATTGAAATTGAATTAGCTAACGAACAAAAACGAATTAATTCAAATGCAAAGAAAATGGCAAAAGAAATAAGTAAAAGTATTAGTAAATATAGAAAAATGTATGTCGATGAAGCCCTTCAAAGAGCACAAGGAAATAAAGCTGCAACAAACATTATAAAGGCAAAAGAAACATTTCGTGAAGAAATTGACAAGATTAATCTTGATCTTGTCAAACAAAAAGCAGCACGTCATCCCCCAATCAATCACCATGTTACTAAGAAGAAATTAGAACAACTAAAGTTAAAAACAAAAATCTTAATGAATCGAACTATCCAAAAGATTGCAGAACAAAATGGACTGAAACAAGAAGTTAAAAAAGCAAATGTCAAAAAGACATTATTAAAGAAAGAATTATTTGAAGTAGAAAATGAACAAAGAAAGAAATTAATAGATTTAGTTGGAAGTTGGAGAGAAAAACTATTAGATGTTGAACTTCAAATAAGAAAACATCACGAACGATTAAGGTTTACTGGAATTTCTGCAGCAGAACAAAAACATATTCAAATACAATTAAAAGAATTGGAAGAAAGAAAAAAAGTCATTAAAGAACATGTCAAAGAAGCAGAAAATAGTATTGTTATTGAGCTAAGAAAATTAATCAGAAAATCTATTGAAAGAATCACTGTTGTTGGTGAAACAATGGTTATTCTTTCAGAAAGAAGTGCAATTCAAAGAAATAATGGCATGATGAATGGTGTTAGAATTCAAGCAAAGAGTATAACTGGCAATGATAACATGTGGAAAAAGGTTAATGGGAAAGAAATTATTGGACCAATGAATAGTAGTCAAGAACAAGAAAGTCGACTTGAAGAAAATAAGTTTAGACGAGTTGTTGTTGAAGAAAGTAAAGCCATTGAAGAAGAATTAAAACGACATCTCCAAAGAAGAGAATGGTTGAAAGTTGCAGTTCAAAAAGGAAGAAATGTTGTTGGGGAATTAGACATTGCTAATAATGATGTTAGAATGTTAGAAATGGGAATAGAGGAGATTCGTAGATATGTTCAAGAGACATTAGTTCGAGCACACAGTGGTTGGGCAATTAAGATTGCAGAAGGAATTTTAAAACGAAAGAATGCATTTGAACGACTAAGAAAATATTGTGAAAGAATGGGTAAGAAAGGAGAACAATGGGAAGCTGAATTCCATTGGAAAGCTCAAGCAGAGATAGGTAAAGGCATTAATGGAATCAAACAATTAAATCTTGAGTTATTAAAATATGCATTAAAAGAATTAGATATTGCAGCAAAACAACTTGGAGAAGGTGTTCAAATGAATGATCCATTAATTGAAGATTTAAGAATTAATTACGATGAATGGAGAAGAGTTGTTAAACGAAGTATAGATAGATTATATCAAATAGAAAGGATTAATACTCATTTTGAAAAGAATAAAGGAAAAGGGAAATTATGTGAGAGATGTTTTGCTTTAGCTAAAACAATAAGAAGTGCTGTATTTGAAAAAAAGAAACAAAATATCATTTTTGATTTGCTCAAAAAGAAATGTGATGAATTTGAGACAATTGGAGCAACTGGACGTTGTAATGAAGTTGCGATGAAGTTAATGACATTATATGACACTCAATCACTTGACTTTATCACATCAACAAGCCATGAAATGTGTCAAAAAGTCAAAATGTGTTAATTTAAAGATTGTTTTGATTCTTGAATATCGTTATTTATAACACAATTTATAAATAATAGAGAGAATAATAAAAAGAACTATAAAAATACCATAACCCTGAAACAACATAAAAACATAAAAGAAATTAATGGTGAGAAAGCTTAAATATCATGAGTCAAAATTATTGAAAAAAGTTGATTTTGTTGATTGGCGTCGTGATAAAGGAATTAGAAAAGCAGGAATTATGGCTCGATTTCACATTCATGATGAAAGTGAATTTGAAGCTTATGAAAAAGCAGTATTAAATTTAAGAAAACTTAGTTTTTTGTTACAAAAATTACCTAAAGATGATGCATTTCGTATGGTATTAACAAAAAGAATTTGTGACAGGTTGTTTGTTTGATAATTCAAAATATCCTTCATAAGTACCACAATAATAATTAATGTTAGATATGATTTAGGGGTTATTATATTACCCGAAAAGGGATTACATATGATTGACGTTATTCATGCCTCTGACTTTTGTAGAAGAAGATTAGCCATTGTTGTAAAGGCAAAAAAA